TAGCAGGTTTTCTGGTCCTAGCCAGAAGACTCCCCATACTAAAAAAAAAAAAAAAATGCTTGATCTTGATCCTTACGTTAAAAAAAAAAAGTTATGACTTTGTGCTAACATTTGAGATGCTAAGGATTGATGTTAGAGATTTATTTGGTCTATAGTCAGATGATGTCATGTCAATAAATTTTATTTTTAGAATTGGTATAGAAAGATCAAATTAGTTAACATCTTTAAAGAAGGATGTGTTCTAAAACTTCTACTATATTTATAAACTTAAAGATGTTACATTGTTTGGAATAGCAAGTCTTACTAGGATACTTACATTTGTTATTTTGGTAGTTTTTTTTTTTAAGTTTAAAAGTAATAGTTAAGGGCTAGGCATGATGACTCATGCCTGTAATCCTAACACCTTGGGAGGCCAAGGAGCATTGCTTGAGGCCAGGAGTTCAAGACCAGCCCAGGAAACGTAGCAAGACCCCATTTCTACAAAAAATAGAAAAATTAGCTGGGCATGGTAGCTCATGCCTGTAGTCCCAGCTACGCAGGAGGCTGGAGCAGGAGGATGGCTTGAGCCCAGGAGTTTGAGGTTGCAGTGAGCTATGATGATGCCACTGCACTCTAGCCCGGGCAACACAATGAGACCCTGTCTCAAAAAAAAAAAAAAAAAAAATCAATTACAGATTCCAAGCTGGAGACAGCAAAGCCATTCAGCCAAGCATGGGGCCCTCAGGACCTAATAGTTTGCTGCCCAGGAAGCCAACACCTCTCACAAAGGTCGGCTCCCTTGGGGGACGCACTGGCAGTGACCATGTTCTCTGTCTCCTCTAGTGCCTGTCCATCGGGGTCCTGGACATCTTTGGCTTTGAAGACTTCGAGAGGAACAGTTTTGAGCAGTTCTGCATCAACTATGCCAATGAGCAGCTACAGTATTATTTCAATCAGCACATCTTCAAACTGGAGCAGGTGAGGAAGTGTCTTTTTTACAACTTTTTTTATTTGGTAAAATATACGTCACATAGATTTTACCTTCTTGCCGGACGCAGTGCCTCACACCTGTAATCCTAACACTTGGGGAGGCTGAGGCAGGAGGATCCCTTGAGCCCAGGAGTTCGAGACCAGCCTGGGCAACATAGCGAGACCCCGTCTATACAAAAAAATAGAAGAATTAGCTGGGCATGGTGGTGCGTGCTTACTGTGCCAGCTATTTAGGAAGCTGAGGCAGGAGGACCCCTTGAGCCCAGGAATGTGAGGTTGCAGTGAGCTCTGATGATCCCACAGCTTTCTAGCCTGAGCAAGTGCACTGGCATCATCTAGCGACTCTGTCTCCAAAGTAAATAAATTTATCTTCTTAACCATTCGTGAGTGTGCAGTTCCGCAGTATTAAGTACATTCGTATCTTGCAGTCATCACCACCATCCACGTCCAGAACTCTTTCATCTCCTCAACTGAAACTCTGTCCCGACGAAACACCAACTCCACATCCTCCCTTCCCCAACCCCCGGCACCCACCGTTCTGCTTTCTGTCTCTATGAATGTGAGGACTCATGAAAGTGGGATCATGCAGTGTTTGTCTTTTTGTGTCTGGCGTGTTTCACTGAGCAGAATGTCCTCGCCATTCATTCAGGTTGTGGCTTGTGTCAGAATTCCTTTCCTTTTTAAGACTGAGTAATATTCCATTGCACGGGGATACCACATTTTGTTTATTCATCTGTGGACAGACACTTGGGTTGCTTCTACCCTTTGGCTATTGTGAGTAATGCAATGAACATGAGTGTAAAAATATCTCTCTGAGACTCTGTTTTCAATTCTTTTGGGTATATACCCAGAAGTGGACTCGCTGGATTGTATAGTGATCACACATTCTTTTTTTTGAGGAATCACCATACTGTTTTCCAACAGCAGCTACACCATTTTACAAGGAAATATCATTTTGTTGCCCACCCAGCCCCAGGGGAAACAGAATGAGCTAGAACTGAAATTTCCCTTGAGGCCCCAGATCCTTGGCGAACTTGCCCCAGAATTTTCATCTGTCAAAGAGAAAGTCCAAGAAAACGCCACCCAACCCAGGTTGAGGCAGCTGTTGGGGATGTTTTGAGCCACAGGTCATTTTGGGATCTTCCTCACCCACATGTGAAAGTTCTTTTGATGGGAGAGAAACAGAGTTGCCTTTTGAGGGTTAGCTTTGGTCAGTGGTATTGATCATCTACTTTACATGTTTTTCTAGTGCTAAATAGTCATCTTTTCTCACGCATTATCCTTCACGCTGATGATTCTGATGGGAAAAGAGAAATGGGTGGATCGATGTGGACGTTTAGCTGATTTCCCTGTGAAGCCCTCCGGCTGCGGAGCACTTGGAGCGTGGCTGGTGGGAGTTACGTCCCGTGGAAAGCGTGGGACGCACTCCAGGTTGCAAAGACTTAGTGTGGGGAAGTAAAGGATGTAAAATGTCTCAAATCCTTTTTTTTTTTTTTTTTTTGAGACAGGGTCTCATTCTGTCACCCCAGCTAAAGTGCAGTGGCATCATCATAGCTCACTGCAGCCTCGGACTCCTGGGCTCAAGTCATCCTCCCCCCTCAGCCTCCTGAGTAGCTGGGACTACGGGCACACACCACTACGCCTGGCTAATTTTTTTTAGTTTCTGTAGAGATGGGGTCTCACTCTTGCTCAGGCTGGTCTCGAACTCTTGGCCTCAAGCGATCCTCCCGCCTCATCCTCCCTAAGTGCTGGAATTACAGGCATGAGCCACCGTGCCCAGCCTCAACATTTTTTTGTATTGATTACATGTTGACATGGTCATATTTAGGATATGTGGGGTTAAATTAAGTGTAGTGTTATTAAAATTAATTTTGCCTGTTTTTACATTTTATTTTCTTTTTCTTTTTTGTTTTTTTAGAGACAGAGTCTAACTATGTCACCTAGGCCAAACTCAGCCTCGCAAGTTGCTGGGAGCGTGGTGCATGTAGCAGCGTGCCTGGCTTTACTTTTTAAATGTGACCATTAGACATTTTGAAGTTATACCGGTCACTAGCATTATATTCATTAATTATATTATATTCGGGAGCATAGCTCTAGAGCAAGGGCCAGCAAACAACAGCCAGTGGATCAAACAAATCTGGCCCCCCAACTGTTTTTATAAATAAAGCTTTATTGGCACACAACCATTTGTTTACATACTGCGTGTGGCTGCTTTCACACAACCAGTAGTCCCAACAGATACTAGTATCTGGCTTGTAAAGTGTTGTCTGGCCCTTTACAGAGAAAGTTTTTAAACCCCTGGGTGAATTTAAGTGTGATTTTAAGCACCATTCTGTGATCGACATTTAAGAACTTGCATTCTTGTTTTCTATTGATGATAATTAATTTATCTAATAACTTTATGTAGTTATTAATGTAGTCCTATTTATTACTATGCATTTTGTTATTCATACATTTATACATAAATGTGTCTGTTTGTACATAAATCTGCTTTTGCAGCTTGGGTATTCCTCATCTGAAATGCTCAGGACCAAAAGTGCCTCAGATTTCAGGTTTTCTTTGGATTTTGGAATATTTGCATTATGCTTACCAATTGAGCATACCTAATCCAAAATCCAAAATGCTCCAATGAACGTTGCCTTTGAGCATCACATAGGCACTCAAATTTGGGGGTTTTTTCTCTTTTATTGGAGATGGGGTCTGGCTATGTTACCCAGGCTGACCTTGAACTCCTGGGCTCAAGCAATCCTCCCACCTCAGCCTCCTGAGTCACTGGGACCACAGATGCATGCCACCAGCACTCACCTTAAAAAGTTTCAGATTTTGAGGCTGGGCATAGTGGCTCACACCTGTAATCCTAGCACTTTGGGAGGACAAGGTGGGCAGATCACTTGAGGTCAGGAGTTCAAGACCAGCCTGAGCAGGAGCGAGACCCCCATCTCTACAAAAAATGGAAAAATTAGCTGGGCATGATAGCACGTGCATGTAGTCAGAGCTACTCAGGAGGCTGAGGCAGGAGGATCGCTTGAGCCCAGGAATTTGAGGTTGCAGTGAGCTGTGATGATGCTGTTGCTCTCTAGCCCAGACAATAGAGTGAGACCCTGTCTTAAAAAAAAAAAAAAAAGTTTCAGGTTTTGGATTGTCAAGGTTTGGGATGCTCAGCCTGTATGCAGTTGTATAAATATTGCCATATCTGGGAATACTGAACTCCACCCGCCCCCCGCCCTGCAGGAGGAGTATCAGGATGAGGGGATCACGTGGCACAACATCGACTACGCAGACAACGTGGGCTGCATCCATCTCATCAGCAAGAAGCCCACGGGCCTCTTCTACCTGCTGGATGAGGAGAGCAAGTGAGTGTCGCCGGCCCGGCAGGCCCACAAACACGGGATCTGGGTCAGGTTCCCCAGCCCCCCAGGGCCTTACCCCAAATCTATGCCATCCTGAGAACTTCTCAGTCTCTCCTGGTCATCTGGCCACGACATGTGCAGAACACACAGCTCACCATGGAAATACTAACAAACGTGATTAATCCGTGCTCCCTGAAAACACACTCGCCCCAGGAGTTGCCAGCAAGAGATCGCGTCCCCAGGTCTGCGAACTAGGGATGGGTTGGCGCGTTCTCGCAGAGGTCAGCACAGCGTGTGGGTCTGGGTCCCAGACGCCACCAGGCTCTGGAGTCGTCACTGGACCTCACGTATCTCGGCCCCTCGTCCACAGGGGACGGGGTGGTGGACACATCCCCGTGAGGCCAGGATTCAGTGGAGAATGTTACCCTGGGAGAAGGGGCAGGGCACGAGGAGGAGAGTTATGTCACTGCCACCAGGAAGCTCCCGGGGCCGCTCAGGGGAGGCCTATGAGGCCTGGTCCGGCTCCGATCTGTGTGTATTTAAAAATCTTGCTATTTTCGCTCACCATGGAATTTTTTTTCTTTTTGCACATTTGTATTTTCTAAGATAGTATGCTAAAATGTTATTTGTCTCAACAACTGGCTGTTTTTGGCACCCGAGGCAGATGCCTCACTTCACACTCTAGCCTCCTCCCCGCTGCTGAGCCATGGAGCCCCAGCATCGGGGATTTGAGCCCACGTTCCACTGCCTGTGTTTGCAGTGAGGCCAGGCGTAGGCGGCGTGTGCCAAAGCCAACGGTGGCATTTCCCTCCCGGGAGGCAGAAATAGCCAGGTACAAGGGGTCCCTTATTCTGCCCCTGCACCCCCCTTGCTCCCCAGAGCACAACAGAGGCCTGGTTCATCCCTGTCTCCCGCCTCTCCTTCACCAAGGGAGCAGAGGCAGGACCCTCTCCAAGGCACAGCGTTCGGGTGCAAATGGCCAACGCCACAGTCACTGCGGCCCGGGATTATTCTCAGGAGCCGTCCATGGTGGGCCCAGATCCAGGCCTCCCCGGGAACAAATGTTTGCAGATGCCACTAAGCCCGGTGAGTGGCTTCTGCAGCCCCCCAGAAAACAGCTGTGTGCGGGAGAGGAGAGTGAGCCGCCCAGAGCCGGACGGTGGGCTGCCCTGAATCGACTCTGCAGCCCCGAGAGCATCGCCTCACCCTCAGCCTGCTCAGACCAGGCTGCAGATGCGGCCGCCGGTCCATGTTCCTGGCCCTCGGGCGGCGTGTCCCGCACCCAGCGTGAGGCGGGCTCGTTCCTTCCTTTCCTTCCTTTCCTCTTTTGTTCAGCCATCCCTCCGTCCACGGAGCCCTATGCACCCTCCCGCCTCGTACGAGCATACATCCAGGGTCTGTGGCGCAAAACGCGCAGCCTGTAGATCAGCCGCTGTTCCTGCCACCAAAGGTGTCTCCTTGTCTTCCCAGCTTCCCCCACGCCACGAGCCAGACCCTGCTGGCCAAGTTCAAGCAGCAACACGAGGACAACAAGTACTTCCTCGGCACCCCAGTCATGGAGCCGGCCTTCATCATCCAGCACTTCGCAGGGAAAGTGAAATACCAGATCAAGGTGGGCATCTCCCTGGCACCATCCGCAGAGGTGTGAGTGGAGCCACCACTGGCCCAGAAGCCAGGAAAGGGACCAGTGGGAGGTTCCTCACCGCTTCCGTGCCCGGCACTGGATGAGGCTCCAGGGCATTCAGACCCAACCCTGAATCCCCGCCTCTAGGGCCCGAGGCCCCTGCGGCCTTCAGTTTGTTGTCGGGATGGCCCCTGCCCCGCTGCCAGCCCTTCCCACACTGGCTCCCGGGTCTCCAGCGGGCACGAGCAAGTGGCCACCCTTGAGAGACCACCCACATCCATCCCCCTCCAGGACTTCCGGGAGAAGAACATGGACTACATGCGGCCCGACATCGTGGCCCTGCTGCGGGGCAGCGACAGCTCGTACGTGCGCGAGCTCATCGGCATGGATCCCGTGGCGGTGTTCCGCTGGGCCGTGCTCCGGGCCGCCATCCGGGCCATGGCTGTGCTCCGGGAGGCTGGACGCCTGCGGGCCGAGAGGGCCGAGAAGGCCGCAGGTAGGAGCCGGGGCATAAACCCACACAAGCGTCACCGTCAAGAGGGGGACATCCAGGGTCTGTCTTGGCGTGAACAGTTCAGCATTGAGTGCGTGCGTTCTGTTGTGCGACCACAGCCTCTGTCTAGTTCCACGGCTTTCTCATCACCCCAAACAGAAACAGGAGCGGAGTGTGTGATTTAATCTCACGCCATCCTGTCAGTGACGCGTCGGTCCCCTCCTTTGCTAATGATGTGCCCTGACCTGGCCCCAGGAGTTTCCTGGTTGTGGTGACGTAGCTTCTCCTGGTGCCCTGCCCCTTCTCTCGCCTGAACTTCCATACCTGGATCCCAGCCTTAAGGGGACATGTCTGTCCGCCGTCCTGGATGGGGACTTGGTTTGAGCCAAGGAACTGTGCCGGATTCCCTCGAGACTCTGGCTAGCCCTTTGGGGACATCACCAGCAGAGGGGCCTGATACAATTGCTGACATGGCTTGGCCGAAGGCCGTGTCCCCGTTTTTCCCGTAGAACTTGCAGCCCGCGTGATCAAGTGGCTTCCCTGGGTCTTAGGGCTCAACCTTCCGTCCTCAGTGGGGGGCGGGGAGGGCTCTGTCTCATGCAGGACATTGGTGGGAAGGAGGAAGGAGAAAGCCGTTGTGAGAAGTGGGATGTGAACGGCGCTTCACAGTTCCCCTGCTCTGGCCACATTTGAGTAACGGACTTTTATTAAGATGGGTCCAAGTTAGCCAAGTGTTGCAGCACGTGCCTGCAGTCCCAGCTACTCAGGAGGCTGAGGCGGGAGGATCGCCTGAGCCCAGGAGTTGGAGGCTGCAGTGAGCTATGGTCATGCCACTGCCCTCCAGCCTGGACAACATAGCAAGACTCTATCTCTAAACAAAATTTTTGAAAGTTAAAAAGTTGCATCAAAATAAGGATCGCAGCCTCCAAGGAAAGGAAGAGGGCTGTCAGGTGTCCCGCCACTGCCCACTCTGTGTATCCAGCAGGTACAGGCAGCCCTAGCGCCCGAGGTCACCCGGGAGAGCTGCCAAGAGGAGCCAACACCCCTTCGGAAAAACTTTACCGGTGAGCGAGACCTTGATTTGTCTAAACCAAGGCCGTTGAACAGCTTGGGAAACCATACACCCTACACCCAGGTCAAGGTTGCTCTAAATAAGTCACCAAGTGGCCATTTGAACCAAAGAGACCAGAACCGAGCAGCATTTGCTTCTGCTTTTCTCCGCGCTGAACGGCAGGCCTCGGGGCATCTTCTGCTCAGGGAGGTGCCAGCAGCTCAGTTTACAAAGGATCCTTTTCATGGCTCAGGGTGGGCGTTGGCGGGTGGAGCCCAAGGATGCCGTCTGTGCAGTGACAGGCGTGATTACAGAGTACTTGTTTCCTTACCTGGCCAGGGTGCCCTAAAATAGTCCTGCTGACTGACTTCCTTCACACCAGAAATGCACACGCCTCCTTGTCGCACATGAGATGACACGGGGTACTCTGTGATCCCCTTGCAAGGACCCTCCACATGCCCCAGCATGTGCTGGAACTAGGGTATGAAAGTGAGTAGGTGCACCTGTTGCCAGGCAGGTGGGGTGAGAAAGGCCATGCTGGACAGATGTCCGAGGCAATGACAAAGCCAGAGGAGGGACATTTCTGGCAGCCTGAGAGAGCCAGGCAGGCCTCATTGAGATGGGACCCGTTGAGCCAGACAAGGAAAGTAGGCAGGATGTGCTAGCAGCTCCCAGGAAGGCAGCACACACAAAGGCCCTGGGGCAGCCTGGTCCCTGCCTTCTTTCTCAAGACTCGCAAATTCCCAAGGAGCGAGTCACTCTATTTTTGACGATGGAAAGGTCATTTGATTTTTGAGCCGTTTGTAACAAAAACTTCTTCAGGAGATCCGTGAGAGTGTGTGAGTGGAGGTAGAGCTATAGCACCGAGGTAAGTGGCTGTTGGTGGTTTGTCTGGAAGCACAGTGTATCATTTTTCCTGCTTTTAAAAAAGTAGATTTTTAAATTGACTTTTTTCACCCAAATGGGGGCAAAAGAAAGGAGAACACATCTCTCTCTTTGCTTGTGTGGGTTTTTATTTTGTTGTTGTTGCTGTTTGGTCCTCTTCCCTGCAAAGACAAAGTGGCCTCTGACCCCTCACAGTCACTGAAGCCACATCCATCTTCCCCAGTCCCCAGGCCTGGCCCTGGGCTGGAGGTCCCACCCCGGGGGCGGGTTAAGTTTATACAGCTTCTCCCTTGCAGCTGCTCAATGCTAGATTTCTCATTTGACGGCTCTGAGGAGTTCGATATTAACGCTTTTGAGGACATCATTGCTTTCTATGAAAGCAAGAAGTAAGTAGCAGCGCGGGCCTTGGGTCCCGACACCAGGGAGGCACGCGGAGAGGAAGCACCTTCCCAAGGTGCTCAGCGCAGCGTCCAGGGCAAGGAGAGAGGGGTCAGCCATCCTGGCGATGCCAGGGCTGCGGAAGACACTCCTGCCAGATTCGGCTGGGGCAGGGGGCAGTGGGTGGGGGCGCCGAAGCCATCAGCCTCGTTCTGAGCTGTGGCCGCTGCACTGACCACTCTGAGCATAGAGATGACATGTGTCCCCTCTGTTGTCTTTTGCTCTGTGCCTTCCTGGAGGGGTAGGGAGCACAGGTAAGTGCGGGCACTCGGTATGGTGCATGGCACACAGGGCTGCGTGCAGATTGGGGTCCTTCCAGGCCAACTGCCTGGAGCTTAAACATGTATTTTAAATGCCTGGAATGAGGACTTTCAAAAACAAACCAATAAAAATCAACCTCATCTCCAGAAGTTCTCTGAAAGACATTCGTCCCTTAGACATTCCTCACCAATACTCATGTTGAAAGCGTCTCATTTGGTTCTCTGAAGCATTCTCATTCCCACATGTCAGGGCCAAAGTTTGGGCCTACAACGTATGCTCAAGCCCACACCCACAGCAATCAAACAAAATGAAGCTGGTAAGGTTGAGTACTTTGGGGCAACTCTCCCCTTCCCGTCACTAGGCTGGATCACTCTCTGGGGTTGGGCCTGCCCTCTACATTGTAGAGTGTGGAGCAGCGTTCCTGGGCTCCACCCACCAAATGCCAGGAACACCCGCTCCAGTCGTAAAAGCCACACATATTCTGAGACATTGGCTAATGTCTGTTGAGGGGCAAGCAGCCTTGCCCCCGCCCCCAGTGGAGAACATGAGAATTGCTGTGTTAAACTTGTGGCTCCTATATTCAAATTCATTCCTGGCTGGGCACAGTGGCTGGCACATGTAATGCTAGCACTTTGGGAGGCCAAGGCAGGAGGATCACTAGAGCCCAGGAGTTCAAGACCAGCCTGGACAACATAGCCAGACCCTGCCTCTACAAAAAATTTTAAAAATTAGCCAGGTGTGGTGGCGCGCAGCTGTAGTCCCAGCTACTAGGGAGGCTGAGGCGGGAGGATCACTTGAGCCCAGGAATTTGAGGTTGCAGTGAGCTATGATCATGCCACTGCACTCCAGCCTGGGAGACAGAGCAAGACTGTGTCTCAAAAAAAATTCTCCCAAAGGCCTCTGTGAAGCCAAAAAGGCGTTTGACATCTAGCCACAGAAATGTGGACAAGAGACTAATTTGCTCCTCCCACAGAGACCTCCCACAGATCTTTGTTCCTGAGTAGCCCCTGGCTGCTCTTTAAAGATTTCAAAAGGCTGGCCTTTTGATACGCCTGTAATCCCAGCACTCTGGGAGGCCGCCAAGGTGGGATGATCGCTTGAAGTCAGGAGTTCGAGACCAGCCTGAGCAAGAGTGAGACCCCTGTCTCTACTAAAAATAGAAAAATTATCTGGACATGGTGGCGCATGCCTGTAGTCTCAGCTACCCAGGAGGCTGAGGCAGGAGGATCGCTTGAGCCCAGGAGTTTGAGGTTTCTGTGAGTTAGGCTGATGCCACACCACTCTAGCCCAGGCAACAAAGCAAGACTCTCTAAAAAAAAAAAAATCTCAAAAGGCTCTTAAATAGGAGACTTTTTTCAATGATCCAGTTAAAAAGGATCAGTTGAAATTAAACAATCCAGGGGGAACGATTGATTGAAAAGAATCCAGTGATCCATGTTGCCAAGTCCATAGGTCCCCCCCCCTCCCCCCCCCGCTTGGAAAGGCCAGCCCGGCAGTCTCCATCCTTGGCAAAGGAAGGAGAGGCAGCCTTGATCACAAGCTATGCATGTTTCAGCTCCAGTAGCCTAGGGACGGCCCCAGTGGCACTGGGGACCCCAAGGTGGTGGGCCTGCGACTCTAACTCTATCTTCTCTCTGTCACTGCACCTACCCCACCCTCCCCTCAGCGATTTGCATAACCAAATCATCAAGAGCATCAAAGGACTGCCCTGGCAGGGCGAGGACCCCCGTAGGCTCCTGCAGTCCCTCAGTCGGCTCCAGAAACCCCGCACCTTCATCCTGTGAGTCCCCCTGAGAGCCCCCGACAAGTGCAACGGCTGCTTCCCTGCTGCTCCCAGGGACCCATTGGGGCCTGTGGGCTTCCTGAGTTAAATGGGCCACTAAAAACGCAGTGCTATCTCTTGGCCCCGGCCTCACCCGCAGCTCTCGCTAAATGGCCGTCATTAATACCCCTGCCTGGCGTCTGTGCTGTAGCGCAGGCCCCCGCCAGTTTCCCAGTGCACAGCGCAGCTTTGCAGGAGTGCTCCTTCTCTCTTAAAGGCATCTAATTTTCTGCCCCCAAACATGCTCCCCACAACCCACGCCCCGCCCTTGTCTGGCTTGCAAAGCAAAGCTTGCTCCCCGCCTTTGCACGGTGAGCCTGCAGAGCGGCCGTCTGAAGCAGAGCATGCAAGTCCTTGTGAGTCGTGGCCCTGCCCTGTGCACCGGGCCACGTGAGCCAGGTGACAGGGCCCAGAAGGCACACAAACCAGGTTGGGAGGCTGGGGGTGGTGGCTCGCGCCTGTAATCCCAGCACTATGGGAGGCCAAGGCGGGGAGGATCACTTGACGTTGGGAGTTCGAGACCAGCCTGAGCAACAGTGAGACCTTGTCTCTACTAAAAATAGAAAAAATCAGCCCAGTGTGGTGGCATGCTCCTGTTATCACAGCTACTCGGGAGGCTGAGGCAGGAGGATCGCTTGAGCCCAGGAGTTTCAGGTTGCTCTAAGCTATGATGACGCCACAGCACTCCTGCCTGGGTGACAGAGCGAAACTCTGCCTCTAAAAAGAACAACCTGGGCTGGGCATGGTGGCTCACGCCTGTAATCCTAGCTCTCTGGGAGGCCAAGGCGGGCGTTCGAAACCAGCCTGAGCAAGAGCGAGACCCCGTCTCTACTAAAAATAGAAAGAAATTAATTGGACAACTAAAAATATATATAGAAAAACTTAGCCAGACATGGTGGCGCATGCCTGTAGTCCCAGCCACTCGGGAGGCTGAGGCAGGAGGATCGCTTGAGCCCAGGAGTTTGAGGTTGCTGTGAGCTAGGCTGACGCCACGGCACTCTAGCTGGGACAACACAGTGAGACTCTGTCTCAAAAAAAAAAAAAAAAAAAAACAACCTGGATTGGGATCCCGACTCCCAGAACCAGGTGGCCGATGGCAGCCGCAGTCACCGCATCCGACCTCTTACCAGCCACTCAGGTGCAGGTTGGCTGAGAGCGAAGCTCACCATGGGAGCTAGTTTGAAACCCCATTTTTGTCGTGCGTTATTTCCCCACAGGGACCGACCTCACAGCTCGCAGGCCTAGCATCTCAGGGCTCTGCGGGACACCGTTCCTTAGCCGGTCCTCAAAAGGCACGAAGCTCCCATTTTCATCTGCTTGCTTATTTTCCCTTTAGTCTGCGAGATTCCACGAAGTGTCTGAGAACACAGCAGCTGTGCCCTCCCTTTCCTCAGCCAAAAGATTGGCCGTGATTTCTTTCCTTTCTGCCAGTGTGGTCCGAAAGGAGCTCCCTACTCAGGCAGGACTCATTTCAGTTGTTTGCAGCACCAGTTCTGGAATGAACGGAACGTGTTCCAGAAGGGGGTTCTTGGGCCCGTTCATCATCAGAACCGCTCAGGGTCCCACAATTCCCCATTCAGGGCATCAGGCCATGACTTTTTTTTTTTTTTTAATTATCAGGATATTATGAGGGTACATTTTGGTGACATTTTATGTCTCTGCCTCACCCAAGCGAGGATTAGAGGCATGCCCTTCCCCTCTACAATGCTCCCTGCGTTGTTTAGTTGTGAGTTTACCCCCTGCCCATCCCCCTAATCCCTGGAGAATATTACGACCATGTGAGCACCATGGTGTTGACCAGTCAATGCCAGTTCGATGGCGAGTACATGTGGAGCCCATTCCTCCGATCTTGTGATGCCTCACTTTGGATAATGGGCTCAAGCTCTATCCAGGAAAATATTAGAGGTGCTAGATCACCATCGTTTCTTATGATTGAGTAATATTCCACTGTAAACATATACCAAATTTTAATAATCCACTCATGGATTGACGGGCACTTGGGTTGTTTCCACATTCTTGCAATAGTGAATTGTGCTGCCATAAACATTCGGGTGCAGATGTCTTTATCATAGAATGTCTTTTGCTTTTTTGGGTAGATGCCTAATAGTGCTATAGCTGGATCGAATGGTATTTCTATTTTTAGCTCTCTGAGGTATCTCCAAATTCTTTTCCACAGAGGTTGCACTAATTTGCAGTCCCACCAGCAGTGTAAAAGTGTTCCTGTCTCTCCACATCCTCGCCAGCATTTGTTGTTTTGGGATTTTTTGATACAGGCCAGTCTCACTGGGGTTAGATGATACCTCATTGTGGTTTTGATTTGCATTTCTCTAATGATTAGAGATGTTGAGCATTTTTTTATATGTTTGCTGGCCATTATTCTGTCTT